ATCAGCTCTGCTTTCTGCTTCGTCTTCAGGAGCAGCACCTAATGAGGGCTGTGCTATGGCAAATAGCTGTGCTGGATCAGCTGCCTCCCTGAACAAATTCCTGCTATAAATGCTCAGTTAGTGCACTAAATACACTGTAACTGACCTTCCAAGTTTAGTTTTGTGTGCACAAAGGGATGGTCTATTTTCAGCAAGGCAGTAAAGTTCAGCCTGATACATTTTTGCGTGCCTATGCCTCTGAACTCCTGGTATTCATTAAACAGATGGCACAGAAGGGACTTGTGTCTGTCCATTGCTATGCACAGCAGTGTTTGCAAGCAGAAACCTTAAGGGGGAAATGAGGAAAATGGGAGCTTGGCTCCAGCGTTGGCTGCATTAACCCTCTCAGCGTTGAACCAGAATTCAAAGCCAAGATGTTTCCATAGCTGCTGCTGGAAGAGGGGGACACGTCCTTCCAGAATCAACTTGAGAAAGCCACAGGTTCTTTTTGAACCAGATCTTCAGTTACGAGCACAAACTGTTCCTCACTGCACGTCAACCAGTGCTTTTGTAGACAGGCTGAGGCCTCACTCGTGGCTTCTCTCCTGAGCCATGGGCATTGAGCCACTCTGAGGATTTTCTTTATTGCTCTTAGCTTGAGAAACAGGAGTCCTTTGCTCCATGGAGGAATATTCAGAGGTGACATCAAGCTGTGGACAGTTGTGCTCCATCTTCAAGCAGTGCTGGTGGAAGAGAAGGTCTCCTTGGCCAGACAAGCTAATGTTATTTGAATGACTAAGGTGAAATAGTTGCTTTTGTTGTTGTTTTTTTTTTAATGTGAAGTAGTTTAGGGAACTGCTGTACCACCACACTGCTGATCATAGAGCAGCTCTTGTAAGTCAGAGAGGGGAGAACAGTGCTGAGCAATGGAAAGGAATAATCTTCCATCACTGCATCTGAATCTGGAGGCACCCATCTGTCAGCAGATGTATTTGTGCAGCTTCAGAAGGACCCAAAAGAAATTGCTGCCCTAAAAACTTCCATCTTATGCCTCGTTTGGGTCCCATAAATATTCACTGCCCAACAAGGTGAAAAAAAGGCTGAAGAAGTTCTCCAGTGCTGGCAGCAGTCCGGCTGGAGCAGTAGCCTGGGCTGGGCTCTGGGGTGTCTTCCAGCAGCATTTTTGTGTTCTTTAATATCCTCTCTAGCTTTTATTGGAATGGAAACTATTTCATCTTCACCCGCTACAAATCCAGACTCTTTCTGAATGTAGGGTGGATGTACTTACTGGAAAACCCCTCCATGGTCCGTGTGACTGCTGAAAGCCAGGCTGTGATCATTTGCACAGATGGTTGTGCCAGGGAACAGTCACCTGAGCAGCTTCGTAGAGCAGAGAGAGCACCGTGCTTTTCAAATCTCCTTTAAAGTCACTTATTGAGCAGTGATACAAAGTAGGAGAGGAAGGGCCGAGGCTTCTGTCTGTGTGACAGGTTGGTGCCCACGAAGGGGACGGCTGTACTGACCACAGGGGACTGGGGGATTTCAGTAGTCACCATGGCTCGGGCTTAGAGTCAGTGTTTAGGATTTCTTTTGGGCTTCTGTTATGCCCAGAGCTTCCCTGGGGCGCCTGTGCCTAAAATTTCCATCTCCCTGCTGCAGCCTCTGCCCCCACCCCCAGACTCATCCAACCTCAGGGCTTGCCTGCCAATACCAACCATGTAATGGACTGCTGTGCACAAAAATATCCTTTTAGCTTTAACTCTTCTTTTAGAATTATTGACAATCTCAGCAAATGCAGTAGGCTAAGAGACCTTGTGGTACCTTTGCAAGACCCCAGGGTTGTGTTTTCTTGTTACCAATCAGGCCAGCATGGGAGCAGGGCATCCATCCAGAGAGCTGCTGTGAAGCCAAGTGAGCGTGATGGGAATTGGGTACTTCAGGAGATGAGAATTTGGTGGGTAATGGTCCCTGTGCTGCCTTTCCAGGGGAATTCTGTGTGCGAGGCATGGCTGAGCTATGAGCAGATTTCATTCATTTCACTTTGCACCTAAATGAAGGACACAACCCGAATGCCTCCAGGTTGGTGTCCAATTGGAGAGGAGCACGAGGGTGACAGTACCAGTTCTTGCTGTATGCAATTGCTTTTGGCCCACGCCTGCCTTGCTCTCCTTCCTGCAGGCTGCTTCACTACTTCAGAGGCCGACACCACTTGGAGGAGATCATGTACAACGAGAACATGCGGCGCTCGCAGCTGCTGATGCTGTTCGACAAGTTCCGCAGTGTGCTGGTGGTCACCAGCCACGAGGACCCGGTCATTTCGGTTTTTCAGTCCCTCTTGAAATGACTGCTAGTGGAAACTGCCGCGCTCTCGATATTCTGCAAGCTGCCTAAAAGAGATGAGTCCAGTTCCTTCTCAGCACACGGCGTACAGCAGGCTCTCTGCTGCTGTGCCTCCATTTCACACCTCCCCGTGCGACAGCTCAGTTCTGTGTGAGGGGCTGCGTGCTCCTTCCCAGCCTGGATTTGTGCCGTGCCACACAGCACAGCACAGGAGCTGCTGTCTCGCAGACCTTCCCTGGGTCTGCTCCTTCATTGGGGCTGTTGAGATGGGTGAGAGTGGTCCATGACTTCTACTGGAGTGTTACTGACCTGTGGGTGGATGCTTCGCACCAGAGCTGCTTTCCCTGCTCTCCACCACCAGTGGGTGTTGCTCATGAGCAGCCTGTCCTCACTGCTTGGCCTCTGCTTAAGGGCAGAGTGAAGTTGGCCTGGCTCTTAGGGGAATGATCCTGGGTACTGAGGAATTAATTCTGTCTGACCACTGTTATCCAGAAGCAATGGGGACATAAATAGGAATGCAAAGCATCACAAGTAAACAGCTTTGTGAATGAAAATGATTTACTTGCCTTGTTACAGCTTTCCTCTCCCCAGGACCCTTATTACAGAATGTCTGTAGGGGCAGTGCTGTCACCAGGCAGCCCATTTGTTAGCTGATCTGCAGGTCTGTTTTAAATTGTGGTGGGAGGAATTTGGTTGGCTCTGAGGAGGACTGAACCTGGCTGGCTGTGCTGCAGGTGCAGCATTGTATCAGTTCCCCAAAGCTGCAGATTAATGGCAGTCATGCTTGGCCCTCTGGGACCTGTTTTGTTGCTCTGTCCCACTGTGGTTGCAGGGAAGCAGATTAGGGAGCTGGCGTGCACTAAAGCTGTCCGGATGAAGAACAAGGTACAGGGATGTACATGGCTCTGCTTCCTGATCTGGTCCAGCAATCTTCATTCAGCTATGCCAAGGCTACAACAAGAGGCAGCAGCACAGACAGCTGCTACTCTTTTTGGCTGCATCATGAACTTAAGCCAGCTATGATGGTGGAACAGGGCTGGGCTGCCTAGCCAAAGCAGCTGCACTGGCAATTGCTGCTCTGTTCAGGAAGGGAAGACCAAGAGAGAGCCCAGGGTGTCTGCACAGCTCTGTACCCGAGGAGGGTGGGAAGAACTTCCATGGTGCTGATGGCTTCCAGGGGTGCGTGGTGTGTGAACACAGTCAGGTTCCTCATTTAGACTTTCCCTTATTACACACACAAGGTGGAGCTTTTTCCCAGAGCTGCAGACCTGTGAGAGGGGCTTCACTTGCTCACACAACTAGAGGTGAAAATGTGAGCATTCAACAACTTACCTGCAAGGAACAGCACAGGGCCTGCAGCGCAGTGGATACCTGATGGCAGCTACTTCAGCACAGTCCCTTCTGTGAGCCTTCCCTGCAGCTGCAAGCAGGGATGTTACAGAAGAACAACAGTGATGTCTGAGCTGGTCAGCACAACACCGACCCACCCAGTCCCCAGCAGCTGCATCTGAAGGTGAGTTAATGAGCCAGACATGGCACAGTCTGTTCAGAACGGGTGGGTCAGAGGGTTTCAAAATTTGAGTTTTTTCTTGCACAAGAATCCCAAATGAGGAGAAAAATCACTGTCTGGAATGGGCAGGACAGCTGCCTGCTGGTTGTCACCCAGCTGTGAAAAGACAAAGCTTATCCAGGGGCTGCTTGGGGCACAGCACAGTGGTGCCACCAGTGTGGCAGTGGATTATTTGTGCAAGATGATGCAAGGTTACAGCACAGGTAAGGCAGGGAGCACCTGTCTGTGGAGAAGCGTGCAGCTAACCTGAGATCCAAGCAACTGTTTGGCCTAGTTGCAGGGCTTGGTGCCACACGTGCAAGGCAAACTGCCAGCATGGCTGCAATTCTAGGGATTCTCCCCTGAATCCTATTTTTTCCCTCCCTCTGTACTTCATGGCAGGCTGCAGCTCTGCAGAAAGAGCTGTGAGGCAGAGATCTCAGCATTGGTTCTTTCTCTGTGTTCAGGCTCCCACACTCGTAAACTTTGAACTGGTCTCAAAAGCAGCTGGAAAAAATAAACAAAGCAAAAAACTCACTGGATTTTATAGAACAGTGTAGGTTGGTCAGAGTCTCTAGAGATCTTCTGTCCAAATTCTGCTCAGAGAAAATGTTACATCAGGTCAATCAGGAGCTTGTATGGTGGTCTGATTGCTCCCAGTTCCAGCATTTGACCACCCTCATGGTGAAACAGTTTTCCATATAGCTAATGAGAATTTCCTGTTTTCTAGCTTGTGCCCATTACATCTCATCCTGTCCCTGTGTACCTCTGACAAAACTCTGGCTCTGCCTTCTCTGCACCCTCCCACTAGGCAGCTGTAGTCAGCTGCAGGATTCTTCTTTCTCCTCCTCATCTCCAGACCGATCAAAACCAGCTCTCTCAGTTTCTGACAGCCCTACTGCCACCCACTCTTTTGGCATTCCACTGAAGAAACCAAATCTTCTGGCCTCTCCTGGGGGCCAGCACAAAGAGGAGCAACACAGCAGGTCAAAGCGGTGAGCTTTCACTAGTCATCCACCTTACCAGAGCCTGGATCCATTCACAAGAGAGAAAGTGGCTTTCAGTGCTCAAATCCAACCTCAGTTCTGGCTGGAAGATTCATTCTAGTCTGCCTCATGAATAAAATTCCACCTTGCTGCAATAAAGTTATGTTTATTGTTAAAAACCTCCAAGCTGCCCTTGCTGCTGCCCCAACATGGCTTGAGGCTCTCCAAAAGAGCACACAGCTCAAGTCCTGGTTGGTGGCACACTTGCAAGATTCATCAGCTGCAAGAGATGGGTTCCATTGCTGCCATCTCTCGCTCCATTTTCTTGTCTACAACACTCACAAATTTGTTTCCTCTTAAATAAAACCTGAGAGGTTTCTGTGACCATTCTCCTCTGTTCCCAATACCAATCCTGGTCGTGGCTACCACGTCCTGCTCCCTGGGCAGCTCCTGTCCAGGTACCATCCAGATGGCCGCATCTTGAGTCAGGTCCCTTTGGTCAAAAGCCTTATCAATCCCAAATGCTTGGCAGAGCTTGGAGGGCCCATTACACAGCTGCCAGTCCTTCAGTGGCTTTGCAGGTCCTTTCCTTGAAGTGCTGCGCAGCTCCCTCATCACATCCAAACCCTGGAGAGGCTCCAGAGAGCGGAGTAAGACTGCAGCCCCTTCCCCTGTGCAGAAAAAGAGCCACGTGTTAGTACAGGTTTGTTTGGAAGGAATATCTCAGCAGAAGTTGCATTCCCTGCCCCTGGCAGAGCAGGGAGTTGCCTGCAGCATCTGTGCTTCCCTCAGACTGCTAAGCCATGGTCAGTGCACTCCCTCCCCTATGCTGAATGTCCAGCATCCCACAGCTTTGTGTACTTGATTCACCTCACCCAGCCCCACTTCCTGATGTTCCTAGGCCAAGCTGCAGCTCCAAGGCTTGCCAGAGGGCAAGAGGTTTTTCTTATATCACCACAATGTTGAGGAATAAATACACATATGGTTCAGTTTTGGCATAACTATCCAAAACTGCTCCCAAACCCAGTGGATTTATAATAAACTCTGATGATAAGGTCTCCAGCCAGCAAATGAGAGGAGAAAGAAGTCGAGATGCTGCCAACAGAATGAGGCAGAGCTGGACTGGAGGAGGGCTTCTGGCATGAAGCTGTGGGCTGGGGAGCAGCTGGGCTGCTCTGAAGGAGCCCTGGGTGGAAGCATTACTGATCCAAGTGACGGGCTGAGGTGTGGGTGTGACAAACACGGCCTTGGGTGATACAGAGGAGCGAGGTCAGCGTCCTCGTGCCAGGGAAGCTCTTGTGAGATGGGTGCTGGGGTAGCAGGGGGCTGCACAGCCCTGGGAGCATCGCTTCAGCAGAGACAGCCCCACCTGTGACAAGAAGTGAAGAAAACTCCTACTTTCTTCTCCAGTGTGATTCATCACCCTGCCAGGAAGGAGCCTAGGAACTTATGGCTCCCCACAGCCACTGTGACCAGCTGCTCCCCCTCCTTTTGGTGAGGGCGAAGCAACGAGGCAGCTCTGAGCAGAGAAAATCCCCTGCAAGGAGGATTTCCAGCCCAAGTGGGACAGAAATACTTCTCCAGTATTTTCCATCGGAAAGCGGGGAAGGTCTTCGTCTGACCCTGAGTGGGAGAGGTGAGGGCCTGGCAATGCAGCCTGTGTGCTGCCCCACACAGTGCTTGTTGTGCGGGGCTGCCCACGGCATTCCTCCCCTCCGCCTCAGCACTGGGGATGCTGCTCTGCAAGGACTTCCTTTCCCTCTCCAGCCGCAAACATCTGGAGCTGTGCTCAAGCCTGGTGAAGGCTGTTGTAGCCCAGCAGATCCCCAGGGACCCGCAATTCCCCAAAATAGAATCCCTCTCCTATTTTGTAAAGTGCCACAACAAGCCGCTCTCAGCTCACCAACTGAAAGCCTGATCTCTTGCTGTTGCCAGGTGTGCCTCCTGCTTTGCACTGCTCAGAGCCCCCCTGCCCTCTGCACAGCTCTGTGAAGCAAACACTTCCAACAGCTGTCCACAATCTGTTTGCAGGCACTCCCTTTGCTAAGGAAGGGAATGAGGCTAATCTGGAAGCCAAAAGCTGCTACAGTGATTTAGAGCTCAAAGGTCATTTTAGATTTTTAAGAACATCCTCCACGTCCTAGTTCTGCTTTTCATCCATGCACACAGAAATATCCTTCACGTTGGGATGCTCTCACCAACTGTGAGATTCTGAGGAACTGCTAATTACACTCCTTGCCCTCATCCATCACAAATGCAAGTAGAAACTGCGGGCACTTGAATTCAAGTGTCCTTGTGAGCTGATGTGAATAAAGGCACATGCTGAGAGCAGCTGCAGCGCTCCCAGACCCCCACGCAGCAGGAGCAGGGTACCTGGCATTTGTCTCTGGCTGCTCTGTGAGCATTTCCACTGGAAAGCTTTCCAACTCTTTCTAGCTGTGTGCAGAACAGATGAGAGTTAGAGCAAGACCGCCAGGGGAAGACAGGAGCTCAGGGATGCCACAATGAGCTACTGCTTTCTCTGCCCACCTCCTCCAGAGGTGGAAGTTCGGGACCACTTAAGGGTGCTTGCACATCAGTTTTCTTTAACCACTAACCAGTAGCTGCATCCTTCTGGCTCACCTCCTGCCTGCCAGGGTGCTGCAGCCTTCTCTGTGCAGCCTTCTCTGTGCAGCCTTCTCTGTGCAGCCTTCTCTGTGCAGCCTGCCCAGCTTGCTCCCAGGGCTACCTGCCTTCAGCACTGCCTGACACAGACACTGCTGCTGCCATGCCGTTGGCAGCAGTGCCCATCCTGTGCTCCAGCCCAGAAGCACCACACATTGCCCTCTCATGCCTAGCAGAGTCGCTCCATGTAAGGAGTAGATTTAGAGCTAAAAGCTGGGATCTGACAACAAGGAAGAGGCTGGTTCTGTCCTTGGGCAGTCAGGAATCACAGAACGATAAGGAAGTCCCACACCCGCACTGCGCTGCTCGCTTCTCCTTCCCTGGACTGAGTCCAGCTCTCACTCTTGGAAACAGCTCTTGGCCGCTGGAGAGAAGAAAATTTTCTCCTCTCTCCACCCATCTGACTCACTGCTCCCAAAACACTTCCTTCAAAGTCCCGGTCTGGGATCCCCGCTGTGTGACCCCACGCCTGGGTACAGAAGCACCGGGATCCCCATTTTACAAGAGATTACTTCAGGTCTGGCAGCAAAATGCTCACATTGGCAAACTCCCGACAAACAAACCACAGCAAAGTCAAAGAGAAGCTCGACCAGCAATTGCTGCCTTCCTGAGGCGAGGGAAGCCCAGTGTGTCTCTCAGCTCTTGGGAAGCGTCTCTGTGCTAAGATGATTCTGCTGCCAGCACCAAGATGCGCTGTGGGATCCATGTGCACTGAGACATTGGGTAGATTTTGCTATCATTTAGGATTTCTCCTCGAAGCAATGTAGAGACACACAGCATGGCTACCAGCAGCAAGAGGAAGGCTCCTTCCAGTAAAATCCCATAGGACCCAGCTTTACCTCAATGATGTACACAAAGATCCCCCCTTCTTCCCTTTATTATTTGCCAGTATTTCAAATGCTGAGAGCCCCGTTTTGAACAAAGAATCATTCTGCTTTCATTATCTGAACAGCTTTGGCAGAGACGTGGTAATGCAGTTCACATGTGTTCATCCATCAGACTCCAGACTTCCACTTAGGAAGACAGGCTCTTTCCCCACACTATTACCTGGCACTGTTTTTCTGCTTGGCTACCTTCCAAAGGCCAAAACCAGAGGGCTAATGGTCATCATCACAACGGAATATACAACATGCTGTATCTTGGAAATGGTGGAAAAGAGTTTTTTGAGATTTTTCAAACAAAATCAGTGTTTAAGGAACACATACTGCAGCTTCAAGGTACGTAATTACATTCTTTTTCTGAGGCAAAAACTATCATCTGTAAGGAAAACAACACCTGCTTGTTAAAAGGAGAATCATTTGATTAAAGATTGGTTTTATTATCATGAGAGCAATAAAGGAGGATTGCAGATCCTGTCACAGCCTGCTTTTGAGATTTTCTTTTTTAGTTTTTCTTGAAGATAAAGCAAAGCGGCTAAAAAGCTTCTGTAGCAACTCAGATATTAATGCTCAGACATGTTAGACCTTTTTGTTTTCCTTGGCGTTTAGTTTCTGGGGATAAAGGCAGGAGACAGAAAACTTTCTTCTCCTGACAGTGGACACCAAGATTTAGACTTTCACTAGACTGCAAGTTTCTTTTCACACCACCACCCTGAAGGAACAAAGTGTACCACATCACACGGATAAGGCATCGGCTCAGGTCATCCAAACTGAAAGCACCATCCTGTAAAGATTCCCTTCCAGTCCTTCATCTTTATTTCTGCATCTGAACAGCTCAAGGAACTCACAGCTGGGACCAGAATCCCACCTGGCCATGTAGCCAGAGATGGCCCTGCTCATAGTGTTTGAAGCTGACACATAGGCACTGTGCTTTGGCCTCAACTCACCTTGGCTGGAAACGTTCACGCAGAAATAAATCCCATAGATCTGGTACACGTACAGAGTTCCTGGTTTCATGAACATGGCTGCATTCCGTTGAGTTTGCTTCCCACCTTTTGAGTGAGAAGCCTCATCCTCCCCACCAAGATAAGCTTCTGTTTCAACAATCCTCCCCCAGAGCTCCCTGCCGTCGGGAAGTTTGCGAACTAGAATCTGGAACAGGTCAGAGGGCATCGGTTAGCAACAGCCCCTGTGCCAAGTAAGCAGAGCACAAGGCTTCTTGAGGCAAAGTCATCAGAAAAAGGGCCCTCAGGCAGTGCCCGCTCTCCTCTCATTCTCTGAATGCAGTCTGTAAGCTGGCATGAATTTCAACTGTCTGGACCACATCCCAGTACACCAAGTTTCTACCTATCGTTCACCCAGCAAAATGCTCGGGGTGCAAAGCTGTGGCAGTATCATACAGAATTAATGTATGACCACGTGTACAACAAAGCAGCAATCTGCACAGCCCACAGAACTGCTTCTGTGGTTCTTTTCTGCATTCTCACCCCAAACCACCAGGACAGCAACTGCAGTGATTGCACAGACCCTTGGAGATGTTTCAGAAAAGCCCTGGCGCCTAACTCTAGAGATAACCATAATTGAAACATCAGTGCTGCTTCTGTGTTTTCTGCACCGTGTAGAGGAGCAGGGCAGGAGAGCTGGTAACTGGCCTGGGGCAGAAAAAGCAGGTCTTTGTCACTGCAGCGTGCTCCTCGCTGCCAGCTCCTTAATAAAGCCAAGTAGACGAGGAAAGGAAAAATAAACAGCCACAAGTCTGAGAAGATTCTCCTGAAGAAAATAAAACAATGAGTGACTCCTTACAAAGCTGCAATTCCTGCCTCTCATGCTTTCCCCACAGTATTTCCCAATTAATTGAAAACATCAGTATTTTATTGTTGTGAAAAACAATGACTTCAGAAAAGTACTGGTGCATGTGAATACTCCAAAAGCACTCTCAGTACAATGAAAAGCAGTTGCAAGGTTACAGTTTTAAGGGTATGCAGGCATTTCCCTGCCTCTTCTGACAACATATCTGCAGCTGAAACAGTTAAATGCAGTAAGTAATACTAGTGCAGAAAGCACCTCCAAGATCTGGCAGAACAAAGATAACAAAACACTGAATTATTATTATTATAACTGCAGTTACATGAGAACAAGAGCACAGATTGGGTCACAGGAGGACCTAAGTTATACTTCAAAGAAAATGTTACAGTGACATCGAATTTGCCTGGTTTGTAATTCTAGGCCTAAAGAGGAAGAGGATCGAATTAGGAGTAAAGTATTATCTGCCTATTTAACATCTGGGGATGTTAAAGACATTGAGACACCAAAAAATGCAGCTTCAGGTGTCTTCATACACAGCAAACAAATCTCACAGTGCAATGGGACACAGACTGTATCTTCCAGACACCAAGAAGTGCTTTGCAGAGTCAGTAATCAGGGACCTCCCAAGAGAAAACAAAGCTCTCAAACTGATCCAAACTCTTCGCCAAAGACTCAGCACTGAAAAACAACTTTGTGTCATGACCGTGAAGCCTAAAATTCAGGATCCTTACACAAGTATTAAGGTCCAAAAATAATCTGTTACAGTATTGCTTATCAGCAAAAAGGGAAACTACATAAAACAAGGAAGCTTGTTAAGAACTTAAAAGAGACAGCCAGAAGTCAAAGCAGGAAAGGCAAACTTCTAGCAGGATGTCTATAAAGAGAGAAAATACATTTGATGTATAAGAGAGAGGTTGAGAAAGACCAAAAATAAACACAGCAGGAGCAAAGCAGAGCAAAGGTGTCCATTACATGCAAGACAATATCCTTCAGAAGTAAAACCAAGGGTAGACACAGAGATACAGCCCAAAACAAAGTTACTGCAACAAATTCCTGAAGTATCTAAAGCAAAGAGAGCCCAGGAAGTTTCTTCACCCTACAAGTAATAAAAATATAAAGAGGACTCAGAAAAGGTAAGATCACAGCACTGGTACTAAAAACACATTTTGCAATTGTGCTTACAAGGTTTCCAGACTCAAAACTGTTTACAGGGACAACACTGGAGGAACTCTCTGAAATGAGAGTTTTTTGAAGGACTCACAGAGCAGAAGAGACAGTTTAGCTCTCCTCCTCCCAAAGGCAGGGTCCAAAGATTCCTCAGCATTTCTGAGTTGGGAAAAGGGAGGAGGTCCTTTCATGAACAGGTGATGACTTAAAACCTCAGGAAGGTAGAGAGAACAGGTTTCAGAGTGAACAGAGTTTAACTGTAGAGCTGTGGAGTCCCAGAGGCCTCCATGCCAGGGCCTGTGCTGCCTCACATATTTCTGTTCATAATGTGGGAGAGGTGAGCACCAGCTCTACTGGTAAGCCTGAATTATTCAGAACTGCAAAAATAAAAGAAGGCAGATGGAGCTTTTAGAGCATACAAGGCAGCATAAAGGAAAGTATCAAGCAGGCTGCTGAACTGCCAGGTGAGAATAAAGTATGTCAGTACACTACGACAGGGGATATCAGTCAAAAAAGGCCAAGGACCTGCTATTAGCATCACAAGGTAATCAAATGGAGGGAGAGGAGGAAATGATGCTGGCTGCACAGCATTACCTTCCAGTGGGAAAACCAGGAGCCAAAAACAAATACAGAAGTACCTGAAGGGAAAATAATTGGCCTTAAACAACCTTCAAACCACAGACAGCAAAGTGTGTTTCAGTAAGCCAGAAAAAAAGGAGGAACTCCACAAAAAATAAACTAATTCTGAAGTGCAACAGTAAATTAAACCTAAACAATTACCTCTGTGACTACATCCAAAATAGATTTAATCATTAGTCTTCAATTTAACAGAATTTTACAAGAAAAATAATGAGAACAGTACTCCTGAAATAGCAGAGCCCCAGAGGCAAACTGCAAAAAGAAAAAGATCATCCCTTTACATTAAATTATTATTGTACTGCAGCATGTAGAGCTGGTGTCAGTGTTATGGCTTACCTGTCCCAGGAAGGATTTGGCCAGGCTGATACAGGGCTGGTTGAAGAAATCTGCTTCCAGTTGGGAAGATTGTTTTTTCTCTGTTACAAAATATTTGCTGCTTGTTGGAGAAGAGTTGCCATCAGGAGTCGTGGTGGGGCTCTTCAAGGCATCAGAAAGAGGGATGCTGGAGTTACTTTGGAGGGCACTTAATTGAGCCAACAGCTTTCTTTTCCTTGACATAGTGCTAGAAAATAAATGCAAATGTATTTGGAAATGTAAAGATTATTTTAAAGTAATTCATTTCCACGAATTCTTATTTTTAATACAAAGGCTCTGAAAGCTATTACTGATTAGACAGTGCAGGCAAAGCACAGGAGCAGCTGACATTCAGCTGGATTTACGCCAGGCTAGGCAAATATTGGGCTCTACTGACATGCAAACAGAATACTGCAGTTTGAGCTTTCATCTTCTAAGGGCTTAAGATAACAATAAACTCTGGTCCACGTAGCAGTAAAAATATGTTTGCTAACTGTTAGGTTAGGAAACACGAAAGCAAAGGTAAACCTGTACCATCTTCTTTCCACTGAGAACTTAAATAATCTATTAAGCAGACAAAAGAGAATATGAAAACACCTCTAAAAATGCTGGTTCAAAAAGTTCACAGAAGTGACATATCAATCATTTCAAATAGTGATGTAATGGGTAAGAATGCAAATCTCCATGGGACGCAGAGCGCTGGAGCTGGGAGCTGCCTGATTTACGGTCACTGTCAAGCTTGTCACGCTGCAGAAATGAGTGCACTGAGACCTCCACAAAGCAAGGCTTCAGCTCACCTTCCAAAGAGATGAAGAACAGTGTGTTCCAAACTACAGAACGTATCTGTGACAACTGCATAACCTGAAGTTGTTCTTCCAGGTTCCTCACCAATGTGCTGGCTTCAAAAAGTTGGTGTGTCTTTTTCTGTGCTGCAGTCCTTACTCTTGTCAAACCAGAACAAACTCACTCTATAAAGCTCTTTGAAATGTCTGCTGGCTAACAGCACAGTGTGGAAGCTGGGGGTGATGGATTAGCACTGAGGCTGCAACCAGCTTTGGTTGGAGGTATTTTAGTGCAACATCTGCATTCGGTATTGCAATAATTCAGCCATGTCAGAGACTTGCCATAGAATTGCCAACTCCATGTCAGGTGTTCTGCTCCGCTCTATAGCTTTCACTTTGTGGCAACTCCTAAAAATGTCACTAGAAGCCACTTACCTCGCTCAGATTAAATTGCCTGATGGCCTTTGCAAATATGAGTCCTGTCTGGGAAGGAGGATGTGAACAGCAGAAAGTTCAGGAAGGAAGGGACAAAAGAGGAACACTTCTCCATATCAGGCTAACTTCTAAAAAGTCAACCGAGTGAATGTTTCCTGCTAAAAACTGCTTCCAGGCTTCTCTGACAGCATTAACTGGAACTACATGAAGACACGCTGAAAACGTAACCTGTCTGTGTGAGCATGAACTGCATTGGTAATTTGTGCTTTTATGGAGTGCAGCATCAGACACAGGACCTGAGCTGCCCGACACCTGCTGCCCTTGCAGTTAAGTTGTTCTTAGAGGATACGAGTGCTCTTACACAAACATTACACTGGCAGCCCAAGGGCACTTGTAATGTCATTGCTATAGGCTGATCCTACACAGACCTCAGCATCTTCACCTCTCATTAGAGGCAGCAGTAGGATACTGCCTTCTAGTCATGAGAAATTCAGAGCCTACAACATGAGATTGCTTTAAAAGCAATAACAGAGTGAAGGGAAAGCAATACTGTCTCAGAAATCCAGAAAAGCCCCAATGCATGCTTTGTGCTTGCCCATGCCACGATACAAGACATAAAACTCTATGCCTCAAAGCCTATCTGCTTTTTCTATAAAGAAAACCTGTATGTGCAAATCCCTTCTTGCATAGGAAGAAACACAGTGTAGGCATCAGTGCATTTCAAGTACCCAAGCCCTATTTATTTGGGAAGTAAGAGACACCATCTCTTCACATGCAGGTCTGCAGACAAATCCCATGGCCTTGAGGCTGTGTGCCCCCAAATAAGAACCAGCTGTGGATTCATTCCATTTTTACTAATTCTGTTGTAACCAAACCAGCTGCAAGTTGTGAAGCACCTGTGTGCACACATAAAGAAGCAGAGAAGTCAGAAGAGAAAGATTAAGAACTGAACAGCTCTGTGCAGTGCCTGAAATGTTCAGGCCTGCTGGGCTATTCTCAGACAATTGTCTATGGCCCCTGTAAGCCAGAATCAGAAACACTGAAACTGATGTAAAAATACAGTGTATGCAAGGCTACATTGCCACTTCTGGGGAAACAATTCCTTTACAATTTCCAGCTGTACAGATTTGTATATACAAATAGCACAGCGGGCAAAACCAAAGGACATTTCTTCCTGCATCCTGCTCTCATCACAGGTCAAAAGCAGAAGGCAAGGAAAGAATAGAAGGAACACACAGTGCTTCTCCAAGCGTCCTCCACATCTCTGGCCAGAGACCTTTGAAGCAAGCACAGCTCCATGTGCTTCATAACCATGAGCTCTATCCAGTGGTCCTCTGAACCAAGGTAACATCACCCAACCACACTGCAACAACCACCACTTACCTACACCCTGCTACACGTTCCCTTAAGGAGTTCTGAGCCTGCCTCTCACAAATGCAGTTTGGTTCTCCCTACTTCTTGTATTTGCAAGAGACGTGGTAAAGCATGCCTTGCCTTTACCAAAGAAGCACCTCACAGAAGTAGTCATTGCAGTAGTACATCACAGAAGTAGTCATTGCACTCGTTTTGTGTGTGAAATCAGGACTGCTCCCCGGCCACATGAATCAGTTTGCATTTACAATTCACCAGTCACCCTTCCTCTTCACCTCCTAAAATAATGTTAAACCAGCTGGAAACATTGTGACAGTCAGCACCGTGCCCCTTTTCCAGGTCACTGCAAAATGTTGCTCAGCACATCCTTGCAGCACTCTAGAGGTGACCTCCACTCTGAAGGCTGCCTATTTACTCACATCCTCTCTCCTATCTTTGCACAGTGTTTAGGATGGGAATCATCTTATTGAGGCAGGAGTTGCTCACACTGAACCAGAGGGCTGCAGCCATTTCTCTGGAGAACAGTGTGAGGAGAGGCAGAAAAACCTTCCTGAAAGAAGAGTGCAGGCAGGGTTGATAACTGTAATCACAAATACTACATCAGTTTCTTCGGAGGCAGACTTTGATAGTATTTGCAATCCTACTCATACCCCCAAAGGATGGTAAAATAAACAATGACTGTATACACCTTACTGAGTGCTCTATAGGTCTGGCAATGTCATTTCCTGCACAGAGTCCTTCCAGCTCCAGTCTATGCTCCTACTGCCTGCTGGACGTCTTGAGCTTTTCAGAGTGAAAAATAATCATCCTTTTGTGAAGACCAAAGAAGACACAACTTGAGAGAAAGCAATGAAACATCATGAAGAAAAAAGAATCCCTCATCAAAATTCCACTTAATTTTGGCTGACTTTCTTAAGTCGCTTTATTCTATCCTAATTCTTCCCCACCATTCTAGCAGTGTGACAAAGCTGCATGAAATGAAAGCACACCAGTTAAGTATAATACTGGCAACGGATGTTAGTTAGCTCAGTCCCCAGAGACCCAAGTTAACCAAGCCATTATCAAGCAGCATTCAGTGAGGCCACCAACACTGACAGGCAGTTCCGTTTTCTGATGCACATCGACATCATGTGCAGCAAACGTCCTTTGGGAACGTCTGGCGAATCATCCAAAAACTCTGAGTAATTTTTTTTCCACTTACATGACGGCACTGAAAACACTCATGATTTGTAAAGTTCACTGAATGACCAAAGATGTCTTTCTCATTAATGCATTGATAAAAAGGAAAACCTGTGACCGAAACCCTCAAACATCCAGATAATATCCAGAGATATTATACTTAAGGGCTTCTGTTGAAGCACAGCAACTTAAGGACCAGGAGGAAAGGCACAGAGCACAAAGATTTACCCCCAGAAGCATCCTGGCGTTGCTCCCTGCATAAGCACAGAAGCAGAAGGTGCTCATGGTTCCTCCTCAGCTCAAACCCACAGAGAGGATCTGCTGCATACCCAGTCCTACAGAGGAGTAATATCTGAAGTCCTATGAGAAAGTTTTGACAGGTAGGGGTATGGGACAGATAATTTCCTCCAGATTTCAGGCCAGCTTAAAAAGTCTTAGTATTGAAGCCCTGCACAAACAGCCTGAACTCTCCAGCAAAACCAGATGCAGAAAATCAGTCATGAAACAAACTCAGTAACAGCCAAGATGCTGCTCTAGGAGATTCAACTGAGACGTTGAATCACACATGCTATGAACTTGTGTCTGTGAGTGAGAAAGTGCCTTTCTTCTATTTTCAGAGGAAAGATTTCCTACATTTAGTGATTTGGGATTAATCTGTATGGTTACAGGGAGAATATTTGTCTGTGTTTTGCATTGTATTACCAGACACAGTCAAATAATTAAAGTAAGAAAACAAAATACTGACTCGAGGCCTTAATGGATGACGATGTGCAGAGACACACTTGTAAATGCAGGTTAAGATGAATAGCTGATGTCTACCACAATAGCAAGCACCTTCAGAACCCCAAAACGAAGCCTTCGGGCTCTACATCAACAAAGGATCTGAGGAGTGGGGACAATTTCCCTCACAGCTCTGGATCACATGCTGTATGTGAGCCTGCTACTGGTGAGACACAAAACTTCTGATGAGATAACACAGGAACAAAAGCTAACGCCTCTCCTATAACGAGACACTTCCAGGAAGCTATGAAATCACTGCTTACTGTAAAGGCTGTGAAAATCTGAGTCAAACACAGACGCGAACCAGCTGACCTCAAACGCTTTCCCTTTCACACGGCAATCTTATTTAGAAGAGATTTTCAAAGCAGATCTTCCAGTCAGATGGCATTCCTGTACTTGGGCATCTCTCCTCCTGAACGGGTCCAAATCCTGTCACTTCTGTGGCACATACACACCTGCACAGTGGTTGAACTTCCAGCATTCAGCTACAAGATCCCTCTTCTCTGAGATCTCTGCACCACCTGTCACTGACTCCACAGCCTTTCACCTAATGCACAGGCAGGCCAAAGGAAGCTCCCTGCAGAACAGGAGCAATGTGACAGGAAACCACAGGGCAGCCTTATTCAAAATGCACGTGTACACATTACTGCATGGCTCGTCAGGCCGCGTTCTGCCCAGCCCAAATGTATGCACACAGTGGGGACGGACGGTTGGAGATCCGTGACCCTTGAGGTCCCTTCCAACCCTGGCCATTCTGTGATTCTCAGCGTCCATTACAGCCTTTGCAACATCGCTGACTCACAGCACACAGAAAATAAGTTCTTAGAGGAGCGATGCTTGAGGACGCAGCCCTGTAACGTGGAAACAAACAGCACCGATAACCGCGCCGACAGCTGGGTGAGACCTCGCAGCCTTTTTGACGACAAACCCCGACGCATTCGCCGTTCCTGCCGGCACAAAAGAGCAGTCAGGGCCGCGCTGAGAACAGCCCAGAAGCGCACGGCTCTCACACCGCAGGACGCGTTTATACTCCAATGCCCGGCCCGCCGACACCCGCTCGGCCCACCCGGGGCGCAGAGAGGACAAGGGCTCCCCGGGACGCCCCGCACCCCGCCGGGCCTCGCTGCGGCCTGCAGGCGGCCCAGCCGCGCCGCGCACGCACCTACCGGGCCGCGCTCCGCCGTTGGGCGCAGCCGGGCGGGGCGGGGCGGGCTGCGGCGGGGCGGGCTGCTGAGGGGAGCCGCCTCCCTTCGCACGGCTGGGCCTCGGACCGCGGCGGCGTGCGTGGAAGGGCGGCCGCGTATTGGCTTTCCTTGGCTTGTGAAGCGTTCTGCGCGTTTTCGGTTTTGCCTCATCATCGCCTCTGCAGCACGCTGCTCTCTCCTATGAATAAAGCTCAGGGCCACAGGCCGACTTTACAGAGGGCTCCCTGAACGAGTGCCTGGCCTGCAGGAGATTCTCGGCTTTTACCCAGATGAGCGCAAGCTCAAAACGCAGCTTTCCTCGTCGCGTTCTGGAGATGCAGCTGGGGCTGTTGGTTCCTAAGTGATTCCTACAGTAAAATGTCCTAACGATACTTAGCACTGCGCGGGTTGTGCAGGGTGTGCAGGAGGCAGCCGTGCCAAGAAGCAGCATTTAGCATCATCTAATTCATAAACTTGCGGGTAGTTATCTCCCAGTATAGGAAGGAGGGAGTTGCTGGGTTGGTTTTTACTTGGTTCACTTCCAACTGTTACTACATCGAAAGTTCTCCATGCAACACCCCGTGCTTGCTTTATTTTCTTCATGCTTTACTCATCAGTGGTCCAAGAAAGGGAAGAAAAGTTATGGACATTTTAATTGGAGATCTGTGCAGCGCTTTGTTTTGCTAAAATGGACGCAGATAAGCTCACAATAGTTAGAATTCCTTGGGGAGATGTTATTGTCTGGCTGCACTTTGCTTCAGTCTGAAATCAGTTTCTTGTGCTATTAGCAAAGAAATCAGGACATGTAAAAAAAAAAAAAAAAGTGTAAGCAGTGTTGACTGAGTTCTCCAGAATTCTGAGAATTCTCCAGCAGGGCTTTGTTAGCATCTTGGACCCCCTCACTCACATGGTTAACATCCAGCCTTTGTGTTAATCTAAGAAGGAAGGCCAAGAATGTGTATGGAAAGGTGGACAGCCAATCATCAAATTGGCCTTTCAGCAAATCCTGAAAATTCAAGGCAAAACGAGGCAAGAATGAGAGATGTGGAAAGGACTTCCTGGGGTCAGAGCAGTTCAGCTCTGCAGACTTTCTCCTACGGGAATCTGTGGGACAGGCACTGTGAGGAATGCTGACTTCTTTGATGGCAGATCTGTTTCATGCCCAGAGGAAGTATTCCAAGCTTTTAGCACCTGAGGAATGTGAATCGTTCAAAGCTGCAGTGTATACCGTGTTCTTCATTTGTCCAATAACTTCACTATTACAGAATCAACACCTAAAATAGCCTCCTGTAAAAGCTGATTAGTTTGGGAAGATTAAAGGGGAGATTAAAGTTTCCCCCTCTATTGGGCAAAAGCATTTTTTATGTTTTCCTTGAAAGAAATGGAGTCCACTGTTGGAAAATCTGGCTATTGGAGTCCTGGCTCTGTGGCACACTGCATGTGTACAATGCTTGCAAACTGGTTGTCCCCAGCTTCCAGGATGTGCAGACAGCAGATCAGCATGAGAGCAGAAGAAAGCTTAAGGGGCAGATGTCCAAATTTTTTCATCATGTAAGATGCCAAAGCTTTCGTGATATTTGTGGAAATGGGATTTAGTGTTCAATTAGAAGGACACACGAAGTCAGTTCCCCACAGTGATGCTGACTGGTCACTTGCTGTGGCCACATAACTCTCACCAGGATTTGCAAGTCAGCTGCAAAATGTAATGGGCCACCTATTGGTGGATGAAGAAGTTCCAAACAGCATAGGGATTTTATGACATCCACTCCTGGCCTCCCGTGACATCCAGTCTTGGTTGCTGCTGCCTCCTTTGCTTCAATTCCCAGTGTGTCTTGTTCAGAGCTATTCCCAGCCAGTGCGTTAGAGGTATGTACACATGGTCCTCAAATTAGTACCAGAGCTATCCGGCTACTGGGAGAAAGGCTCATAGCCACTTTGGTATCTCCCACACCCATGGGCCATGGATCAAATATCTAGTTCTGTGAACCAAGCCCATTCAACTTGTTATGTAAGCAGATGTGTATGCTTTATTCTAAATTTGATGACATCCATGATGGATGCCATTCCACTCACTTTGTACTCGGAGTGCAAAGAATCCTAGCGAGTGCATTGCATGTAATGGGAAAACAGAATATTAACAGACCTCCTGGGAATCTCAGCTCTGGGCCAGAGAGGGCAGGCAAGTCTTATTTAGTAACATATTAATGGATTTTATTGGGTCTCTATTTTTGTTTTGGATACAGGACATTTTGGTTCTCTGACATGACAGAAATGTTTTGCTTTACAGGATCACTCAATGCAGAGGAACAAATAGCAAAAAAACAAGCAGGCCGGTCTGCTGGGTTTTGGTGGTGTTGATGCGCCTGGGATCTCTCCCAGCTGCATGGGGCAGGACTGGTGGGAAGCTGGAGACAGAGGCCAAAAGGTCTGCTGAACTGACTGGATGTTGGGAGACATGAGATGGAGCTGCCACAGGACAGCAGCCAGGCTTTTCTAAAAACTGCATTTTCTTTTCTGAAGGTGTTAAAGATGGTTTATTCAGTGTTGCCTAAATCAGTAGAAGTCATACTGCATGCTTGACTTATAAATATAGTGGGAAGGAACTGTGTACACGTGTATGCATGTATGTATATGTATGTATGTAAAGTCAGAGCTTTGCAAGCCTAAGAGCTACCAGCCACCTCCAGCACTGCCCATCTGCAAAGAGTGCCCAAAATGTTCTGGATGCAGGGAAAATGCCACTTTCAGTGCTCTTTGCCTCCAGGCACTTATCCTTGTCCCTGTCCTGCATAGCAGCTTCCCCTCCACTGTGCTGGCACAGTAACTTGCAGACCTGTGCTTAAACCAGCTCCTAGAACTGGTTCTTCTGAGGAAAGGAAGAGTGAGAGTGGTGTGATGGTGCAGAGCTGTCTACCTCTGTGAAAGCACGCAAGCGTGTCTGTAATCCCTGGACCAGCAACAGATCACCTTTGGCATGCATAGGCTAGAGCAGTAAGAGGAGAAGCAGGCACAAATGAGACGCATCAGCAGAGCTGAGGTCAGGGCAACAAACTGAATAACGCTTTTTCTGCAACCTGTGCAATGTCAGCATGCAATGGCGTGGAGTAGTTCAGGTAAGCTTTAGCACTGTCTCCTAAGAGATGAAAAATGTACAAACTAAGATGCAGCTGAGCTGCTTCTGAACATTTGTTTTTAGAGGAGTAATCCTTTACCCCTTTAAATACAGAAAAGCTGCAGGGAGTCATTTTGTTACACCAAAGCATTGGTGTCTGCCAAAGGGAACTTTGCAAAGGTGATGTTTGTATTGTGTGAGTGTGCTGGAATAAAGACTGGTCGCCTGCTGACTGGCCTTCCTGGGACAACAGAGCATTTTCCAAACAAGACCAGGTGCTCACCTCTTGAATGGGATTCAGCCTCTCACTGTCCTGGGGACAGTGAATGAAGACTGAAATGGAAAGAGCAGAATCAGAAGGAGTTCACACATAAGCTGAGGAGCTTTTTTATGTAGGGCACTATGGACACAGAAAGTTGTATGGGCTCAAGAACTGTTTGAGTAAATGCTTGGTAGGGAGCTCCGTTCAGGGGTATTAAACACAGACACACCATCTCCAACCCAGGAAGTCTCTGAGCTGCAACATCCTGAGTCTGTGAAGTATTTAGGAGAAATATGACAATCTGACCTGGTTTTGTACCATCTGTAAGCTTTTGTACTTTGCACTGTTGGAGGCAGATTTCTTCTTCTTCGTGGAGTTGTTATCTGACTCATCTGCTTGCAGAGGCATTCTGTGGGAGTCACAATGGTTTTGCTTATCCTGCTTTGTTGGTCCCTCCAATAAGTCAGAAATCATCCAGGCAATGGTCTGAAGGTGAAAGAAATCGTTCAAGAGCAAAATCGCCCCAAATCATCTTCAGTGAAACAGAGCTGCCCAGCCAGCCCCTGCTGTTTGCTATCACAGACATCCAAATTTAGGAGACGTGGGCATGTTTAGTCGTTGACCACAGGCACGGCGCAGCGCGGGCTGCTAAAACTGACCTGAAGTTGTTTGCCTTGCAGGATATAGGAAGGAGGGCTTGGATTGAATATCGTTGACTAAGGTCAGAAGAGTTAAGCTTGAAATAGCAGAACTTGAGAACATTTGGGATGTAAACAGGTGACCGGAGGGACGATGTCACAGGATTTTTGCAAGGGATAATCATTGACCAGAGCTGTTTGTATGTGGGCTGTGATCTGAGAAAGGCTCTGCTGCCTGTGTAGCAGCGCTAGCAGCAAAAAGATGAGCTCTGACTTAAGTGTAAGTTAATTATATTCCCAGTGTTTGGTAACTCCAGCTGCGTGTCCCAGTAGATACAAAAAAGAAAAGATTCTGAATGCTGCATAAGAGAGACTCATCTCAGGGCTTGTAAGCCAGACAAGAACCAGAGATCCTCCTCTCAAGGGTTTTGTGTTTCACATGTAGTAACTGTGACTAAAATTGCTGTTTCATCTCCCTTTAAACCCATCCCAGGGTGAGGAATCCTGATGCACACTGCCTTAATATAGGTGTCTATTCCTTTTGAATTCTGAGACTGAGTTCCTATAGATTTTATGAGACCCAGTTTCTAGGTAGTGGGTACAGATCTAGAATGACATTTTTCTCTCTGCCACATTAGAAAAAGAAGAACAAAGTGCTCAGCAATTCCCTGCACTGCTCCAAGTGCTCCAGGCTCTCAACACGGGTACTGGCCACCCTCCTGTCCCATGCTGCCTATGGGGCATGGGGGCAGGAAGCTTATGGGGAGGTGGGGATGGGGGAGCTGATAGCATGCTGAGGTCCTCAGGAGGATGGGAGGAGATGGAAAAAAAAGCGAAATCAGACATGGAGGTCTGTTGTGCTTTGTTT